AAAGGTCCAAAAATGGCTCGAAATCTAGGCTATCAGCATAAAACCTCTTATTAGATCTTTGCTTGGTTTTTAGGCTATAACTTGAGATACACAAACTCAAAATCAATATCATTCGAATTGATTTATAAAGCTATTTGAAGAGCTCACAAACTTTTCTATTTGACCTACACCTAATTTTGACTAGAAAGAGGCCAAATCTAGCCTAACAATGAGTCAAAATTATTACTTGTTCTATAGTCAACAACTTGCACCTCTTCTAGTGAAATGCTTGTTACTTGTGCTAGAGTGATCAGATTGAATTGATTCCAAAACTTGTGATTCACTAACTAAAAATCTACAATTTTGATGTTTTAGCCCACCTAATTCAAATTGGAGACTACCTAAAATTGCCCAGATAGGAGATCGTAAATTTTAACCCAGACTTGAAAGAATCCTATGCAGTAGGACACTTACGTAATACATATATTTCTCCTATTCATCCTTTATCTAATTCCTCCATCTAGCCCCTTATATATCTTTTGGTAATGATGAATGATAATTTACAACCTTAGTTCAAGTTGGGATGTTACACTCCCTTGGTACAAGTGAAGTGTCGCAAAGGTTCGCTTGCACCTCCTTAAAATAAGCCGAATAGTGGCTTCGAAATCTCAGGGATTTAGGTGTTGAGTTTAGGTCGAACTAGTATAAATTTTGAGTTTGCTTTGTCTTTCCTTCAATCTTTATTTTAGGTGGACTATGTTATATTTATTTGTGTGAATATATTGTTGGATTTATTTCAATTAAAGTTTATTAGACATTATGGACTTACATTAATCATACATGCAAACCCATTGGTCAAGTAATTAGTTTAAAAGAATAACATTGACTTTATTAGATAAAACAATCCGATAATGGGTAGGATTTTAATTTATCCTAAAATAAGAATTTGAAAAGCCTCAAACTTTTCCTTGTAAATTATATATATATATATCCCATAGTAGAGTGGTATTGGTAATTGCCACATTTTACTTCTCAAGAGAGAAGAAATAAATGGTTCTTATTCTAGTATTTTTTTTCACTGACATGTTCTCGTTGGCGGGTAATTATGAATTCAATTCAACAATTAGGTATGCATGCTATAACTTGTAATCTAGATTGAAAAAAAAAAAATTCTTATTAGTTGTTTTCAATATTAACTTTTGACTATAACTATTTCACGGTTTGAGATTTATTGATTGATTAACGGTGAGAAACTTGAAATGTAATAAATTATGCCCCACTTTCCTTCTTATCATTCAACTCCTGCGCATCCTACTGACACAAGTGGAGTGGAACTTCCTCATTAAATGCCGCAACGTCCACGCCTTCGGTTTGGCCCTCCACGGCAAAAAAGCTTTGGAGTCTCCAAAACTATAGTCTTCTCCTCTCTCCCAATGAATTCGAGCTAGATACATTGCATGGATATGTACGCGTGGCATTTGCACGTGTGTAGCCGAGTGGGAGATGAAAAATGGCAACTTATATTCCTAGTGAAGCATAGATATACACCGTAACTGATAGAAGCATAGTGGTTCTCTGGGGCAAACTCTCTTAAAGAAAAGTATCTAGGAATAGCTTAGATTTGGTATGTATACCCATGACTTACTGGAAATTAAAAATGAAATAGTTGAAGGACTAATCCGAAAATAGGAAGTACAAATACATTCTCTCAGTGAAAAAAAGTAAAACATAGTGAAATTACATATCATAACAAATCTTTAACAAATATTAGGATATTTTTGATTTGTTTTTTGCTTAGAGCAAGCTGTCTGTTCGAGCAGGCAACCTCTTGAAAAGTAGTTGGAACTGAAGGCACTTGCTTCGAACCTTGGATGTTCGTAGCATGTAAAGCCTGCAACCAAAGCCACCACTTTAAATGGTGTGGTAGAGCACTATACTGCTTGCGCAAAAGCAAAATGCTATGAAGAGGCCGGTCTTGGATCCCTCCAACTTAATAGTGCTTGAAACCTCTCCCCCTGTGTGGCAATGTTCCCCCACCACAGACTGTATCCTCGCCGCCACACTTCTTAGCCTGTCATATCTCATTCGAACCACATCATGCGGCTGGAGGTGGGAATGTGTCAAACTCTTCATCAAGCTCGTCTGGGTGAGCGGCTTTCTGCCCAGGATAGCCTAGTTCCCCATTTGAGGTGGGTGCCTTGGTCGCAACCTATAGTTCCAGAGTCCAATAGGAACATATAGAGGAAGATAGTTGGAAGTATCAGCTCAGGGTACCAAATGAGTATGAGAAAGAGAACATGAACTAAACTGAGGTGATGGGATTCGTCCAGTGGCAAACATCCCCAACCATCCACTCACAGAGATCATGCCGGAGAGAAGGGACATTATTCGGAAGAAGTTGGCCTTGCTTCTTCTCATGCTCCACATGTGAGAGTCCACGTCCAACATGTACTCTACAACCTCTTTTCTGAGTGGTGGTTCAGCTCGACCAAGCTTGCTGCCACAATACTCATGGCTTGGTACCTCAAATTGTCAATTTGGTTCACTGTAAATGGATGCAAGTAATGCATTTTGGGAAGTAAGGGTGGCCATACACGTGTATCATGTTTGCAAGGGATAAGCTGGTGAATCGAATAGCCAATTGGAGCTCACCCATTTTCTTTATCCCAGTTGGATGCAACACAAGCAGTGGATAAGAATGCATGTAGACTCTATGAGCTTCTAGTGTTGATATTCGAATTCTCACCTTTCCAATCCGTGAGTCTCGCACTGTGCTAACGCCAGGTCTCTCGATTCCCAAATGGCAGTTGTCAAAGACTCCTAGAGTGAGCAGCGGTGCAAGGATCATAAACTTCCCATGTGTACTGCTCGTTCCAATTTGGACCAAAGTTGTCGAGAATCGTTTCTGGTCCGCACCCACTTCTGCCGTACCTTGCTACAACATAGCGTCAGTGCTTCCTCGCCCATCTTTCATCTTCATTGGCAGAAGCCCTGTGCACCCAGTACGCCAACTTCCAAAATGCCAACCGGTTGCTTCCATAGCTGTCTTGCTGTAGGCCTTGGGTCACTTATGTACAAAGTTGATTCGTCCATCACATGGTACCCACCTTCCAGGCATACTCTTAGGTGTATCCTGCTTGAAAACCTTAACCTCTGTCAACTTTCCGTAACTGCAAATCCAAACTGCTCAAAGTTGAACCATTGCGAATTAACAGGCCGGTGGTCAAGTCGCTTCTCAAAAGTGTCAAGAGGTATGCTTGTTCTCCCAAAACATCATCCTTCGAAGGATGCACGCGATCCTCAATAGTGAGAACCAATTGCTCCTCAAAAGGCTCAGCAGCAACAAACACTAAATCCTCATTCCACAGAGGGTTTAATGTAGGAGTCGGGCATATCTTGGTCTTTAGCACTTGATTCCCCACTTGGGCTTTGATGAAAACTTCAGGCATGCGACTTTTGTCATTTGGAATGACATCTTGAGCTTCAATAACATTGACTCTAAGGTACCAGAGCTTTGGTGTGACATAAACCTTGGAGCGCGTGCTGGAAACTCCCACTCCATGAACATAAGCAGCATCAGAATGCCATGCGTCTGGGAAAAGCTTCATCTGCTTGCGTTCCCATCCATACTGCAAAGCATGATTTCTCCCCTCACCTTCCCTCCTCGCCTATCCTCCAATCTATACCATTGAGGAGCCAGAGGGACTGTCCGGTGGGGACTCTATTCGAATCTCATTCAAGTCAAAATTCACTCTCCCCAAATAATCATCCTTTCCCACCATTTCTTTGTCCTTTACAAATACTTGTAGGACCGAGGACTGGATGTGTCTTTTGAGAAAGCGAAAACCTGGTTCCATTCGGGGTTCACCTTCTTCTCCAAGCACTTTGTCTTTCCTTTGTAATTCCAAGCTTCACTTCTACGTAAGGATCGCAGCTCCCGGTAACAGCACTAGGAGGAAGATCTTTGGCCTTCGCAACTCGAACATAAAGGTAAAACATTTGCTCAACAAGGTCATAGGTGCTAGCGAGCCTCTCACCACTCATCCAACCCCTTCCTCCATAACCCGCCCCATTTTGCCACCGCTCACTGCCAAGCTTGGCATTGGCATCCTTCACTTCGTAATCTTCCATTTGGACAGAACCAGTAGGCGTTTGTGGATTCGTGGTCTGCTGCTGGGGATGCACTATTAAGAGAGAAAAAATTGGATGAATAGGGTGACGATGGCGAAGAATATAACTTGGATGGTGAGTATAAATGGATAGTATACGTATAAGAAGGGATTTGGGATTGTTTGGACAGTAAGAGTAGTATTTATAGTAGGCGTCGGGAGACTATCAATTGGTTTTGGAAGTGATGAACCTCTACAGATGGAGTAGCTGAGGTTGAAGCTGACCAGCGTCGGGGTGTGGTGTGGGTGTAATAGGATGATGAAGATGACTGGCAATGGCATCTCACCACCTTAATTTCCTTCTCTTTATTCCTTTCTCTAAGTACGTAAGAGCTTCAGCAGTGGTCGCTGCCGCAAGAAGCAACTAAGAAGTGGATTTCGACACGTAAACTCAAACTCTATTCTGAAGCAAAGTTGATAGGAAAAGAAAGCTCTAACAGATAAAGTAACAAAGAGTAAAGTTTGACAGATGAGAAAGAAAAGAATTGTTTGATGAGGAAGCTGTGTGCACGGGTTGTCTAAGAGACGAAATGGATGAAGGGAGGGAGAGGGAAATGCAGGAAAGGCATAAACTTATTAATTAGGTGCAAAAATTATAAAGTGAGCCATAAACCCGAATTCATATTTTTTTTTTTATTTTTTAGTTTAGTGTAACTATTCTGAATATATATGTAATTAGATGTAAGAAAAACTAATAGGGTTACTTTTCTATAATATAAAAATTATATTAGCATTAGAGGAGTCGTTCTCCATGAGATACCAAGTAAGATAACACCTTTATTTTATACGACATATATTAAATATATATATATTACACACACACACCACACACAGATATATAAATATAAAATATGTAAAACATATATAATATTGATATAATAAAAAAATATATATCACATACTTCATACATAATAGCTATTAGAGTTGATAAACAATAATTTCATGAGTTGACAGATAATAAAAAAAAAATTATTAATATATATATATATATATATATATATTTGCCTAGGAAGCATATACAATGGAGAAAGATATTGGGTTCTCGTGCTTCCCATCGGACTTGTTATATATCCTGGTATGCCCATAGCATTTTTTTCTAAAAATGATAAAACCTAAAGTATCAATTTCTTTTTAGAATTTGTTTTAAAAAATTTTGAATTTTTTGTGTCATTATCCCAAAAATTCCATCAGAATATGTAAAGCTAAATAAAAAAATATTTTTTTTTTGTTTTCTCTTTCAGTTAAATTTGAATATTAAAAGAAAGAAACAAAAAAGTGTAAAATTCTATAAAAATCAGTTTTCCAACAAGTTACATTTTGCTTTTGTTAAGTTTTTTTGAGTTGACTAGTTTTTATTAGATCAAATTAAATAGATTTAAAAGCTAGAATTCACCAAAAATCAACTTTTAAGATCTTTGTAAACTATTTTTACAAATATGTGAATAAAAAAATTAAGTAAAAAGCATAGAAGTATTTAATTTTGGCTTTAAAATTCTGTGGACAGCTTTTCTTTTCTTTTTTTTTTTTTTTTTTTGCATCTCTTAATTTTTGGGTGGTATGAATGTCTCTTTTTTTTTCCTTCATTTTTCTTTTTTTTTGTAAAGCTTCACCAGAAAGGGGTGGATTTAATGCTAATGCACATTTAGTACGACAGTACACCCAGCAATCGTTAAATTTGGTTGAGCTTATAACAAACGTCCATGATTTCACGATACAATGATTCCATCATAACATCAACATTAAAAATGGTGAGACATATACACATACTTCTTATAGCCATATATAGATACAATTAAGGATTGTTTGAGAAAGTTAATTTTTTTCGTTTATTTTTAAAAATATAAAAATAAAAAGAAGATATGGAAAGAGAAGTGAGAAGAGAGATCACGAGTTGGATAAGGAATTTAATTTTTTTCCTACTAAATGTAAAATTTTTCATTTACAAAACCTTTTAAAAATTTGAAACCTAATACCTAATTCTTACACTACCTCATTCTCATTCCCCTCCCACTCTCAAGCACCGATTTTTTTTTAAAAATAAATAAAATAAACATATTCGTAATTAAACAACTTTTTCTAATTTTTACAATTTTATAAATTTCAATTTTAATTTAAGTGGCTAAAATATTTTTAAAATTTATTTAAAAATTACAATTTTTCTTTAGTGACTCTCTCTTCTCATTTTCTCTAATTTAAACCTTCAATATATTAAGAAAATAATTCTTATAATTTTAAATGTGTAGCATGCAATCCTCTTGAAGAAAGAATTATCATAGTAGGTGTATAATATAGGATGAAATATAGTTTACGCATTTATAATATTATAATGATAACACTTATTCTCTTGAAACATAATATAAGACAATTTACTCCTCACCGTTTTTTTCATGTTAGTTGAACCATTTGTATTAGTAACACGGTTATTAATTTGCTATTAGAGTTATCGTGACAAAAATACATTTGAAACATGCTCTCAGAATTTACATCAATTATTATTTGAACAAAACCCCCTAACATGAGATACCGTCTCTTAATCAACAAAAGTCTCCCCATGGTACACTATTTCACCTTAAAATTTATTAATATTAAAAAATATTTATTTCAAATTGTTAAAAGTAATTGACAATTTTAAATTAAAATTAAGTTAGTTACCATCGCCTATAAAAAGCTTTGTGTTGGGCCATGGGAGTTTGTAATCTCTTAATTAATCAACTGATAAAGTTAGGTATAGAAGAATGCGTTACTTGGATTCTCTGCAAGCTATAGCTTTTGGGAACTGGGGTGTATAAATATCTCTTATATGCTATGCTTGTTAAGCCAGCAATACCCGCCAAATTATTAAAAAGTAGTAACACAAAATATAAAGCATAAGAAGGATTCTTTTCCCCTGGCTAAATTTCTACACTTTCTTGCTCAAATTAATTATTTATTTTCTTTTTTATTTAATTTTAATTATTTTAAAAAAGTTTGAATTTAATTATTTAAAATTATTTAGAATGAAAAAAAATATCTGTTTAAATTGAGAAATTATTTAAGAAAAATAAGCTGCAAATATTTAATTTGGTGATGAGTGGTTTAAGTAATAATAAGAAGAATAAAAAGTTGAGAACTTATTTCTTTTTTACTTATTTTCCACTTATTATAAATTACCTTTTTTCTTTTATTTTTCTAAGTCAATACTTAAATTAGAAATTAATTATTTTAATTAACATATAAGCAGATTTTAAACAAAACCGAATGCCTCATTGCTCGAATTCAACCTATCTAGTACAGCCATTAATCACTGTGATCGGGATGGTTATTTATTATGAATCTCTCTCTCTCTCTCTCTCTCTCTCTCTCTCTCTCTCTCTACACACACACACAGAGATATATATATATATATATTACATTCTTTAATAATTCATTTTATACTATTTATGGATGGCTTTTATTTATATACAGAATAATTTTTAATGGAGTAATATTGTATCAATTTTATTGTGAAGTAATATATGCACTGTAGACCAGGTATGGCTGAGTAAAGAGGGGTTGAATTGCTCTTTAGATAATTTTTTGACTTTTAGGTGTTTGTAAATGAGAAATAATGCACTCGAAGAATGCACAAATGTAACAAAATTTGATTATCCTGAGTTCAAGCTTCCGACCTCGAGCTAATACTTAGTTAATTATAATACATCTAATCCACTAAATGTTAAATAATACCCAAACACTAATTTTAATTAAGTGCTGTAGTTACACTCGCAAATATTCACACTATTCCTGAATTTTCTTCACAAATAGAGAAGAATACAACTACACAAGGTAGGAGTGTCTCACACTTAATCCTTCTACCTTTGTGTTTATAATATTTGGTGAGGCACTCTTACTTAACTAAACGAATTGTAAAGTAAAAGATAGACAATCTCTTAACCTAAATACCTCAAATGCAAGTGACCAAGATGAGGAAAGCACTCTTAGGAAAGCACTCTCAACTCACACACTTCAATTTAATACAACTAAATACAAGTGTATATTAGTTGTTTATAGGGACTTGCTTCTAATTTCTGTAAGATTTGAACAATCAAGCATTCTCTATCAAGAAAATGAGAGTTATGGCTCCGAACTCTTGTTTGCTGATTTGAAAAGAAAGAATTTAATTCACTTCACTCGTTATTCTTTTGTTAGTAATTCAAAATAACTAATAAATTTAGTGTAAATCCAAAAGACGATGTAATGTCCCAATTAATATATATATATATATATATGTATAATAATAAATAAGAAAAATTTAAAATTTTTAGGGACTAAATTAAACGATTGAGATTTACGAGACTTAAACTAAATATGTAACAAACTAGGGGGACCAAAAGGTAAATAAGGAATAACTTAATTACCTTTGCATCTATATAACTATAAAACTTCTTCCATTTCCACCATTAACACTATGCAGCGCGAGGAAAGACACAGGCGATTGAGGCTCTTGCTCAAGCCTTGCCAGATCACCCATTCGAGCACCACACCTTCTTTGGCTACTTGATTGAACAATAATAGAAACCGACATGCTAGAACAGAGCTGGAAGAGCAAGCCAGCCGAAACAATTGCGTGTCTATTCTACAAATCCAAATTGCCTCTTCTTTCGAGCTTCTCTGGTGAGATCTTCTTCCTTTTTCTCTCTACTCTCTATTTGTGCTTTGTCCTTACCTCCTCTCTCAGCTGGCAGTACCAATTGCTTCCCTTTTACTGCGCTCCTCAATGTATAAGTATATGTACATATATATATATACACTGCACATATGTATATATAAGTGAGCTTTACCCATCTGTATACCATTACGAGTAAGATTATAGCCCCTTATCCTACATTTCTCTTTGTATTATTGATCCTGCAATATTAGTTATTATGAAGAGGTTAAGGGTAGGCGTGGGTCAAACATAGCATTGGGCACATGATCACCTGTTGAGCTAATCCCGTTAGTACA